AGTCAGTCGAGACTGCCTTAGTTGCTATGTCTTCTGCTAAACCTAACAATGTTGAAGCATCTGGTGACGCCAGTATGACGCCATTACAACTTTGTTTGGCTTCGGTCGAGCGCATGTTAACCGTGCTGGCAGACTCAGTACTGTACGAGCAGCCACCAGTTCGCCGTCGCAAATTGGAGCACCTTATAATTGAACACGTCCACCAACGAGATATTATCCGAACTCTTGTGCGAAGCGGTGTCACTTCAGCACGAGCTTTTGACTGGCTTAGTTGCATGCGTTTCTACTTTGATCCAAAGCAATCGGATCCTTTGAAGCAGGCCAGTAATCTTTTTGCTCTTTCTTGATATGATCATGTATATATTTGTTTGTTTTTGCTAACCATTTAACTGCCAATATTAGCAACTGTACTTAAAATTGTTATTGATTTCATCATCATGTATACAACCACAACATACTGAAAGAAGGCCATTTATTTTTGCATTCATAATCCAAATATAGATACACGAACTTCATATTCATTAGAATGTGGGCGATATGTAATGGGCTGTATGCGAACTTTGAATTAAGGCGTTTCTTTCTCCAAACTAATCATCCATAGTTCAGGTCAATTCTTGCTAAAAAGCTTTACTCACATTATGGATTTTTCGAACGGTCGAATCTAGCTTAGTTTAGGCTGACTATGCTAAAGACTACCTACACCTCGGAAAATTTGTTTCAATATCTTTTAAGTGTATAACCCTTAATGTGGGTTAAATAAGGCGTAATCACCTTCACCACCTTTTTCGCATCCCACGTGCTTGGCTTTGCGATCCCAATTGGTTCTTTATTATCTAAACTTCCTTCATTTGTTCCCTCTAATCAACTGGGTACATTCCCGTAGTCCCGACCGTCACATACATCATACCAAAATATTTAGTCGCATTACCATCCTAGGACGTAAGATTAAATGTTTTCGCAAGCCTCACTTTAAACTGCCCTCCAAGTTTAACTCTTGCGGCTCTTTGTCTTTTAACTTCTAATTCCAATCACCTAGTTATCACATTCCCACATTTTAAGACTTCATATACATATATAACTGAATTTAATTAGTCTTTGTTCGACCTTCTTTTAGCAACTTGGTCGGATCGTCAGGGGGACCTTGTAGAACGTACCTTGTCCCATGTCCTCTGCCATAGTATTCTTGATTTCTATATCAGAGGACACGGGACAAAGTACGTTCCACAAGTTTTACCTGACGCTCCGACCAAGTTGCGAAACAAAGTCGAACCAACATTATAAAGCTAAAGGAGACTGCGACCAGACATAAGGCCACACCATCTTGGTCTTCATATCTACGATTGAATTTACTTAGAATTAGTCTATTTAGCTTTATCCATAACCTTGATAGAAAATATTTTTGACTGGAAGGGGAATATACAATACAGGAATTAATGCCAAGCAATAGTTTCGAAAAGGTTATTTCTAAAGCTGAACTTGTAAAGAAAGATAATCCAACACTATCCTAAGTGTAGACAGTAGATAGGGCTAAGAGGTGTTGAGGGTTCTTGACTCATTGAGAAGATCATTGTGAAATCTTGTCTTTGAATACATGATTCTCTTTAGTGGAATGCTAAATGGGCAGCGGACTAGATTATTACGATTTTTGGGATTGTCAGTGAAACTATCGCATAGGCATGCATTCTTTATTGGGCATGTGAGTTAGACGGTTATGGTTTATTAAAGCGACTGTAAGCAATTAGGCAATTAATTAGATAGGCTATCGATTGCCAGGAAGATTCCAATAGAATCAGCTAATCCAAATGAATTTAAATATTAGATTGAATGGAAGAAAGAATTTTGGTAATCTAGTCCAATAAAAGGACTTGGAAATAGTGATTAAAATGATTACACTCAAATATACTCTTCCAAAAGGGCCCAGTGCGGACGAAGTTACAAGCTTTGGTATCGAGTAGACCTAGTCACTTAAAGGAAGGAATATAATCGAATTAATTAAGGCACAAAAACAGGAGAGGAGACGAATACAATAGTAAACTATGGGATTTAGTTGTTTCAACTT